ACGTAAGTATCTGACCATATATCGAGAGTTTGTCGATGCGTAACGTTGACTTGATATTCCTTTTCGTAGTACTACCTGGCAATCTCATGACTACTTATAATGCCATCTGCGATGAAATCTCCAGGATTAACCATAGGTACGTTCGCCGCCTAGAAATCTTCATTCTACATCACTTCCACTACCGTTGTGTCCCAGAATCGCACTCCTCGTATCTTTCAGATAATTCTCGACTAAAACCTCCCTCCGTTTTTTTCTCTCCCAGCTGTTCTCCCAATGCCACCTTCTACTGGAACACGGCTTCATTCTCCGTCCGTATCCACGCCGTTCGCGACATCCCCGTCAGCGACGAAATCACCATCTCGTACCACGCAACATTGCAATCTTTTGCTGACCGCGCAAAAGCCTTGACCGAGTACAGTATCAAGCCCTGCATGTGTGGTCCGGCCTGCGATCCCGATCCCGCTCGAATTCGAGCAGGAGACGCCCGTCGCGCATCAATCATGCGGCAAATATTTATGACCAAAGCCGTGCCTCTTTGGCACCTGAGGTCGCTCGAACATGGTACACAGAAAACGATACTTGAAGATTGCGTTAAGCGGCTGAAGGAGATGGAAGAAGAGTGTTTGGAGGACGCGAATGGGTATGGCGATCTGTTGAGGTATGTGGTAGAGGGATATGCGTATCTGGGTAAGAGAGAGGAGGTATTGAAGTATGCAAAGAAGTTGGAGAGGGCCTGTAGGGCGTTTGGCGAGAGTTTTGATGAGAGGTACTTGAGCAAGGATGGGATGGAGCGTATCGGGATTCGGAAAGCGGGAGAAAGGGAAAGTGTGAAGGAGAAGAAGTAGATTTGCGTAGCGTGGTAGCTTTTTGTTATTCCTAGATTGATCACTAGCGTAAAGTGAATCTCGCCCAAAGAGAAAGGTTTCAGAATCAAGGCCGGATCAAGGCATACATTGCGACGTGCGTGGAACACAATACAGAACGCGTTTATCTTTCGCGCAAATTAGCTTCATTGATTCCCTGCCTTCGACGTTGCAGCCTGAGGACCTATTAGCTTACTTGCGCGGTTGAAGGATATACAAGCCAGGTATCGGCTCCCAACTGTGGCCCAATTGGGAAAGTCAGGAAGTCTTGTGGATCGCAGCAAGCGGAAAAAAGAGGAGTGAGACGAGAGTCAAAGTCGAATATCCTTGCCGCGACTGAGCCAGACGCGGATACAGATAATTCGTTTATGGAGATGGGAAGTTACAACGACCATGATGGATTCGGATTAGCGAAAGGGCCTACTTACTAGGGAATCAGAAACTTTTGATTCTGGATCAATATATGTCCCTGATGTAGCAGAGGGACACCAGCATGAAACGGACCCCGATGCGGCGTTGAGAATGAAACAGAGCTTCGATGCAATTTGATATATTCAGCTTTGGCCTGCAAGAGTTTCATAGAGCACCTTGACTTAATAATACCTTGCAAGCACGACTTTGGGCATAGTCTTGTGTCATAGGGTAATCTTTTACCATCGCTCTACAATACAGTAGTAGCTATCCTCTGAGCATGCAGCACTGAGGAAGGTTGCATACACCCCCCCTCAAAGGCTAAAATTAGTAAGTTCGCGGAGAAGAAGAACGCCACCTAATGAGATTTTACAGATTATACGTTGGGCCAAGTATTGCAGCTTGTATCTTGCTCTTACGCTTCTAGTTTCGAGTCTGCGTCTAAGCCGAAAACAGGCATCACAGCTTCAATTTAGTGCCAGTGGTCTCGGTCCATCAAAGTATACTCTCCTCGTCCACATAATTGGAACCATATCTACATTTGACTGCGATGGATTAATATATTATGATACAGAGTCGAACTTGTTGCAGTTTACGGTAAGCAAAACTTGAGCATATCGTCCAACGCCGAGACCAGATTTCCATCTTCAAAACTGAACCATTCCTTAGCGTGCGCAGGAAACCGTTTATTTCTTCCATTGTGAATCAATGCAACGCTCGTTCCAACCCAGACAATTCCTAAAACTTTTTCCTCCCATCTGTCACCAAGTAGATTCATATAATCTCGAAGCTGAAGAAAAGCTTGAGCCGAAGAGGAGCCCTCCGACGCAATCTCGACAACAATTCTGATGATATTGTTTGAGTTGTCACCATATTGGCAAATGGTAAAATCGGGGAATTTCCCTTTTTCATCAACAACAGCCGCTCCTATGATCATATTTGTTTAGTAATGGTGTATAGTTCTGTTCTGTAGTGGAATGAACATACCCTGCGAATCATATGAAGCGGCGGAATGCGCATCTTCCGACCCAGAATTATCGGAGTTGGGCTCTTGACCACCCCAGAAATCTTCAGTAAACAAAGGAAGTCTGTTATAATTGGAACAAAGTGAAAGGTTGTACGCACTGTTTGCAGGCGTTTCGTCCTCTTGCCTCAAACGAGGTTGAGGTTTGACAATGAAGTCATCAGCAGGAAACTTAACACCTTGAAGGTAAGCGTTTAAAGGGCCATATACAGAGAACTGTGACTTTGGTTTCTTTATGATCCAACTGTTAAGACGAGCTTGAAGCTTCGGGGGGATGTCTGCATTGCGGTCAGTGAATTCGGCTTCACGTTCACCGTTTTCCGAGTCGGACATGGTTAGACAAGTTAAAGTGATCGGAGTGTTGACAAAAATGGGGCGACTTTATACGTTCCAGGCGGCGACGATAACGGTATCTAGTGTACTGGAAAGGGTATGTGCACAGGTTTATCGTTCCTAAAAGACAACAAACGTATGGATAAAAAAGGGAAGAAGGTACCCAAGATCATATCACAACGATTGTCCACAACAATTGTCCACGAACCATAGCTAGTCATAGCGGCAACGTGGTACAATCTTGCATTTCCTGACACGTTTGTTCTGCACAGAAAAGAGAATATATCAGCCCGAGAACCCCAGTATCCAGTGGCAAATGCGTGGTACAATCTTGCATTTCCTGAGACGTTTGTTCTACACAGAAAAGAGTATTCAATATATCAACCCAAGAACCCCAGTATCCAGTGGCAAATGCATGGTATCCTCTTGTACTTATCCAGATGCATGGCAATGAGGCAGGTGTATTCGAGCCCCATTATTTATTTATGAATTGGGTCGAGAAAAAAGACCATAGCCCAAACAGAAAGAATGCACATACACCTTGAGGCAGCTTGAGGCTCTGAACGTCAACTTGACTGCTTGTGGACGAAAATATCAGCCCGAGAACCTCAGTATCCAGTCAGAAACGTGTGGTACCCCTTGTATTTGTATTTATGAATTGGATCGAATAAAAAGACCATAGCCCAGGCCCCAAACAGAAAGAATGCACACACACCTCGAGGCTCCTTGACTGCTTGTGGACGAGAATATCAGCCCGAGAACCCCAGTATCCAATCCCAGACGTGTGGTACCCCTTGTATTTATTGAAATGCATGAGGCAAGTCTCGAAAATGATTGTAATTTGTTGTACCACTGCACTCCACTGCACCCATTCGGTGCCTTTGACGACACAGTTTGACGCCACAGTGTTCTCAGGATCATCACGTGCTTTATAGTATTTAATCAGCGTTCTTTTTACTTACTCAGTCAACACGTTACAGATGGCCCCCCAATCAGATACAAAGGACCTCGCTTTCAGTGGCTACTCCATGAATGCCACTGACTTTGCAGCATTCATTCACTCGTTACATCCAAACCTTGAACCCGAGGAAGACGAGACTGATATACCCATGTCAGCTTATTTCATTCTGTATGATGATTGGCGTAGGAAGCAGCGTCGTATCAATCCGAAGGTCAAGTTACCCTTTATTCTTGGTATGATCCTTTCAATTTTCTATAAACGATTGGTTATATTAACTCGGGTTGCCCAGTTATCTATGACAACGGAGATCCGCCAGAAATTAGCTTAAATGCTGATGGATACACTCGTGTAGTTTTCCCTGTGCGCTGGGTACCGTATAAAGACCCAGAACAGTGCGACCCAAATGGCAAATTTGCCGAACTCTGGACACCGCAGGAGCTAGATACCGCTAAGCTTAACGAGTTTGTGAGAATCGTAAAGGAAAATGGTGGCGAGCTCGATATAAGCAAGGTGGCTTTTATTTGCCACCGGGAGAAGATAAATCCTGCTTATTCTGCGTTTCAATGATACCTTATGCTTGATAGTATTTTTTGGCAGTAGCTAACAATTGGCGCCAGCCGCAGCTGTATCAGCCTTCCCTGTAACCGTATTGCCATAGTCTTATAGGATTTATTATAAGTCTCGCTATGACTGTCTCTGCCCAAACATGTGAGGATTAACATGTTTGCTCGTATATCCGCAGCCCGCAAGGTGACAGAGCTCTAGTGAGCGCAAATATGAGAGATGTACGGGTGAGAGAGCAAGGAACATTGTGGTATGATTACTGATAACAGAAACTCTAGGATAACGAGATTTTGAGATTTAAACATCACTTCAGCGGAGCGGCTCAATGTTGGACCTTCGCAGCCACCCTTCATCTTATTCAGATAAATGCTGTTAGTTGAGGAGGAGTCTGACTCTGCGTCCGTTTTTCACAAGTACTGATATAGATATCCCAATACATGCTGGATCTTGACCGTTTTTTGTTCAAGGAGAGTAAAGACTCGGGCGTACACTGTACGCCCACATGGTAGGATACGGAACATTAAGATTCTGTGCATATATCGATGGGGGGACTCCCTTGTCTTGCTGGAAGGATCGCGGCGGATCGGATTCATCAACGTCCTCGAAGACCCGGAGTTTCTGCATGGCATCATGCATGACGACTGGCTTACATTCTCGATTTAGAATGTTCCTCATCCTTCTTTTGCCTTTCTCCAAATCCTATGGCAACTCATTCTGCCCATGCTCCCTGGTTTATTCAATCTTCCGTACCGACTAACTCCTCTGGGTCGTAACTCTTGTATTCTTTCGATTTTAGGCTGGGGTTTACAGAGTCAAGTGCAGTACTTCACGCTCTCTGGTGTGCTCCTTCTTAGCTCAGTTAGTAGAGCATACCACTAGTATAATGACGATGATTGAACATTAGTTACTGCCAAGGTCAACTGTTCAAGTCGGCTAGAAGGAATCAAGAAACGCGTGTATGGGGTTCTTTTTTTATCTTTCTGTCAAATGCAAAAGGATGACTAAACCTCTCAGTGTATGGTCCAATTCCAGGGGAAGTACTTGCTAAACTGATATCCTCTCGCTCTTCCAATGGAGGTCCTCTCAGTCAATTACTGGAAATTTATTGAATCTTGCTTATTCAAGAACAATGCTCCATCGTAGGTATGTTCCTTCTTAGCTCAGTTGGTAGAGCACGTCATTAGTGATATGATATGATATTTCGCGGCCCAGTCAGCGGCATTTGCCAGCTGAAAGTGGTCCCTCAAGGGAAGCAGCCGGTCCCTACGCCAGTGCAGGCAGCGAGCTCGACTCCTGTAGAGAAGGTAGACTACGAGCCCGACGCAGGGATGGTAGCAAGGCCAGGTACATAAGTACAAGGCTAACTGTTACAACTACTGACTACCTATCTACTGCGCAATGGAGCACATTCCACCCCAATAAAAGAGAGGGAGGGTGATAGGGCAAAACCAGGTCTCCATGCAGGCGTAACCGCACTGTGGCCTTAAAGGCTCTTGCGAGATCCTGGGCGGCTTCCCGTGCTATCCCTATTTGCACAAGTCACCAAATCCCACGCAACCGGTGGCGAAACCGGCGCACCAGCACCGTAGGGTTTTATGTGAACACAAGGAGCATTTGTACGCAATCAACATGGTTCGTTGAAAGTCCAATCTCCCTCCACCTCTTTGCAACCTATCACAGTATCACCCCAGTTGAAGAACAGATCGGTTATGTGAGCAAATGAGGAGTGTCCCCATCAATGAGCTGGATGGGGTGCGAAGGTCGGGAATAGGAAATGCGTATAAAATATGGCAGCCCATGCAAAGAGTCATAAATTCTGCCAACTCAAAAAGATGAGAGAGCGAATGGCTCAAGAGAGGAGCGCTTTGTGAAGGAGGAGCGGGCCACCAGGAGCCATAGCAGATGAACAAGGGATGGGAGATCGCACAGTCCTAAGGACAAGCCAGCCTCTGTCAGCACTCACTTTCAATCTGATAATTTTAGATGGTAGGGGGCTGATGTATCAGAGAACCGGGAGTGCTGATTGTAACAAGAAGGATACAGAGGCTGTAGCCAGGTAGAAGGGCGTAAATCTCAAACCTGGAGTGACACAGGTCCATGGGATGAAGAATCCGTAATGACGGAGGCGGCGAAGGCAGCGAAAGCAACGAAAACTATATACAAGTTTATCAGCATACATAGATCTATATAGCATACCTTGAACATTCATAAGTCATCTACGAGACAATGTAGCGGCGGTAACAGCTCGAGCGACTACGTCTCAGAATGTCTTGGAATATATTTCTTGTGAGGCGACCCCGTTGTTGTCCTGAAATCCAGGAACTGGTAAGAAGAAGAGGAATAAAGGTGTAGAGTAGAGCTGCAGAGTTAGATGGGTCGAAATTTCGATCCGAAAATATCGATGGTGGTGGTAGCGGGATGTGATGTGATCTGTGTGAGTTTGCAAGTAATCGTCATTTACATTTTAATTACGAGGTCAGTCGTTCAAATCGGCTAGAAGGAATCTTCAAGGCGAGGAACTAAAATTTGGTCTATTTCCTTTTTAACTCTGTACTGGGCCAAGTATTTATTATCGCTTTAGCATATCCCGAGGCGTATATGCTCAGGCTGCGCTTGATAATACTAGATCCTGCATAGTAGTTGGACTAGAACGGCGTCCCCGAGCCCACATCAGTTGCTTTAGGCGAGGTTGTTCTAGTATACTTATTTTCTTCTCTTACTTACAGACGTACTACCTAGTTATAGTCTCTTGTGAAAGGTTGAACTCGCTTATTCAAGCGCTGTAGCTAATGATCCTGTTTAGCTCAGTTGGAAGAACGCGCCGTTCGTGTAAAATGACTTTTAGAGGTCGAATCAATGACGAGGTAAGTCGTTTTTTGCTTGGTGAGTGGTACATTGACAGTATCTGACTTTAAACATTGAACGTTGGCTGAGCCCTCATAAGTCCTGCCTTCGGCTGCAATGACCAAGGGCCACGGTATCGTGACTTTTCTTTTGACTTACGCTCTCATTCCAAACTCCTATCAGGATATTGAACTACAGTTTTTTTCAAGGTAGCCTGGCTAACTTTAGATTTAAATGTTGAGCCCCAAAGGCGGTAACACACTGTCGCCACCTTTCGCGCTCCTGAGTGCATGAGTAGTAGTTGTGCCCGGAGCTAATTAAACAGGCTCCCTCTTGCTCCTCCGATGACTCTCCACATTTCCGCTTGTGACCGCTACAGAACCATTGAAACCTTATTCAAGAACAGTGTTACATAAATGTAACGGAGACGTGACTTGTTTCTCTCATCAGGAAAAAACACTTCTGACCTAGGCTTTCCAAGGTTCACCTCATGGTGCAGAGGCTATCCAAGGTGCCCAAGTTACTTTGGCACCCTAGGTTTTGAGGTCAATTCCTATGTCTCTTTATTATATCTTTGAAGTGCCTGTAGGAAGTGTAGGGTTTGCTTTAAGTGGGCCTCATGTTGCTGTGGTTCTTTAGTCTCTCCAGATATCCTATGTACATTAGGTCATCTATGTCTCCCAGGGAAGCCCTAGGAAAGTTGTAGAGAAGCCGTAGAGAAGCCCCGAGAAGTCCCAGGGAAGTTGTAGAGAAGCCCCGAGAAGTCCCAGGGAAGTTGTAGAGAAGCCCCAAGAAGTCCCAGGGAAGTCGTAGAGAAGCCCCAAGAAGTCCCAGGGAAGTCGTAGAGAAGCCCCAAGAAGGCCCAGGGAAGTCGTAGAGAAGCCCCGAGAAGCCCCAGGGAAGTGGGATCTTCATAAGTATACCTTTGATTATGTATCATGACAAACATCATATTATTAAAATGTGAGCTAAACATTGTGAGAAGTGCAACACTCTCAAGATAAACCGAAGTGAAAAGCCAGCTACTATCTATTGCACAAGACATACACTTTGATTATTTTTATGCAACACCGTACAGCCATATATACAGATATGTACTTGCTAGGATAGACCAGCATCTGAGAGCATCTCATGTGCCAGCCTCAAACGCTTGCCTACCATATTATCTGTGAATTTGAGATGATTTGGCTGACAATCGTCCCCAAGATTGACCTGGCGAAATTCCAAAATGTGTCGAAGATGCCACAATAAGTGAACCCCACAATCGTACCCGTTAGGCTGGAAATGAACCTGAGAATTGATGAATGCGGGCAGAAATTATGATGCAAGTCTAAGACAAACCTCGAAGTGGGGATTGAATATCCACCCACAGTCCACATTATTTTTGAGGTTGATGTCTTGGCCTCGAATACTACCTAAGACTTCTGTAACCCATAATAAAAGCTAATGGTTCACTTGAACGTTTGAGAGTAGTAGTATGAATGGAATGAAAACGTACCATCATCAACTTAGCGTTCTTCCTAAGGAGCGGTGGTTTTTTTCGATTGTTAACACATGTAGGCTTCCAACTGTCATAGATATCGATTTGCTGGTCAAGGAAATCAATACGCGCAGAGTACCAATGGTGCTTATCGTTGATAGGAATGAAGACACTATCCCAGTCCCTGAGCTCCTGCGATAGCTACAGAAAACACTGAGAGTTCATACAAACACCTGGGACAAAAAGCACTTACTATGGCTTTACGACACCACTTAGAGATCATTTCCTCGTCCGTTTGTGTCAGGATTCCATCCTCCGGGGGAACAAAGTCATTTGACATAAAAAGGCACTTAGAAGCAAAAAATGAGGAGAGCCCAAGAGTAGTGCCAGATTCAGTGCACCACTTGCCGACAAAATAGTTGACAACTTCATCATTGATCCAACGGTTAATGCCAAGCGTCCGAAAGTTGGAGAGCTGAACATGGCTAAACTTGGAGGTGATTATTTCAGGGCTGTAGGATGACTAGGACAATTGAGACGAGGGATGAGAGAAACAGCATGTCGCATACCAAGTCCAGCAAAACTCTTAGCCTGGCCTCTGCCTCCTCCGGATATTCATCGAGGCCTTTCCACAAAGCATTTTCTATGGCTATCCTTTTCCTACTAATACACCCACGCAGAGTCTTCAAATTACAAAGGGCGCGTAGAGCAGTGTTATCAGAAGGGATGGTGTGGTGGTACTTTAGGCGACGATTAAGGGAGGCCTCAACGCGGGTTGCTGTGGCAAGAATCCTGATGGTTTCGTGTAGTTGGGTCATTTGAAACGTTGAGTCTGGGTAGAATCAACTATTGGATGCGGACGGTATTGTAAAAGTCGAGTCGACAACTTGAGCATCAAGTTGGTCGATAGTTGTCAGATTGAAGAGTTGCTGAAGGGAGAGAGATGGAAAAAAAGTCTTGCAGTCTTTTATGATATTGACTATATCTCGAAGGACTGGTAGTGTACAACTTCGACTGGGTCCAAACGGTTCGAAGTTGGCAGGCAGACAATTTTTGTGAGATTTCGCGAGTCGGGAAAATGAAGGCAAATTTTGATACATTGTTCTATTTGCTTTCAGGTTTGAGCGCTGAGGAGGAAACTCTGAGAACTCACCTTGTGGTAGATACAGACATTGCTTAAAATGACTCATCTAGCGGCGTTAATTATTGCCGGAATTTTTGCCGGAAAATGAATGTGAATCGTAAATCGTAAATCGTAAATCGAGAGGTCATCTTCCAACACGGATATCTCACAATGGTCTGGATAGTATCATCTAAGTCCTTTGTTTAAGCTGCAGAATATATAGTACTAGGACACGAATCCGAAATATCAGAGAAAAAGTAGAACTAGATGATATAACTGTTGTCTCTCTGATTTATTGAACAGAAAATGCAAACAATTAAAATGAAGGAGTTTCAAAAACGAAGGCAAAAGAGAAGCGCAAGTGGTAGGAGATGTAGATAATCTCCAGAACAATAAAGCGGGAGGCTGAAGTCACAGTAAGCATCGACACCACTGATCTTTCCCCACTATCCTTCTTCATCCACCCAAATCGTTATTATCCCCAGGGATCTGGGCT